TGTCTGCGGGGCTGCGGGGCCTCGAGTGCCTGCGGCTCCGCGACCCGCTGGCCCGGCTCAGCAACCCGCTCTGCGCCAGCCCCACCTACGGGGCTGCAGTCCAGGAGCTGCTGCCCGGCCTGAAGGCCATCGATGGTGAGCGCGTGAGCGGGCGCGGCAGTGACTTCTACCAGCTGTGCCGGGACCTGGACAGCTCCCTGCGCCCCAGCTCGGGCCCCGGCCCCCGAGCCCGGGAGGCCCAGCCCTGGGTAGAGCCCGGGTACTGGGAGTCCTGGCCCACCCCCAGCAGCGCCATCCTAGAGGAGGCCTGCCGGCAGTTCCAGGCCACCCTACAGGAGTGCCGCGACCTGGACCGCCAGGCCGGGGACAGCCTGGCCCAGGCTGAGCGGGTGCTCGGCCCTGCAGGCACCACCTCCTCCTTTGTCTTTTGAGCGTGTCCTGCGGCCTGGCCCAGGGCCATGGGGTTGGCACATTATGCCTCCTCACCTGCAAGTCCCCGCTTGCCTCCGTGCTTGTTTTCACCATTTCATCATGCTGGTCACTGGCCCTGCACCTGGGGCTCTTCATGGGTCCCTGTCCCCAAGAGCAGCCCCCTCCCTCCCACTCTGACCTCAAGAAAAATTCCCCACCCTCTGCCACATACGTCAGGGACACACCTCCCTCCAGAGCGGCCTCTAGCAGGTGTGAGGGCCCTCAAGCCCTCCATTGGCAGCTGGCACTGTGTGAGGCTGTCCTGCAACCTACACTGCGCCTTGGAAGAGGCCCCGTGTCCACAGCTGCTGCCACTCCTGGCTGTGAGAGCCTGAGACTCAGTGGAAGAAAGTTGCTTCTTCCTAAGGCTCAAGGTGAGAGAAAGACACAGACAGCGAGCCTCCTGTTCCAGCCAGTCCTGGGTGAGGACAGGGCAGAGCACAGAGCGTGGAAGCCGCACCTACCCACCTTCCGAATTCTCCTGTCCCAGTGACCCTCTGCTGTGCCCCCAGTCCTGGGTCTCTCCGGAGCCTGCGCTGCCTGTTCCCACCCACGCCCATCCCTATTAAATACTTGTGTTTTTGTTTGCATCACTGCCTGTCATTTCCCATGGGCTCTTGAAAGCAAGCCTGGGTCCCTGCCAGCTCTGGTCTCTCCTGGGGGAGGCGGAGGAGCACACAGGCTTCTGAGTGTCCAATGGGAAGTATCCTGTGCCCCTCCCCCATCAGGCTTCACTGCATCCAGGGCCTTTCTTCACATACCAGGCCTCTGACCAGTTAAGCTGGGGGGATGGAGACGGGATATGTACGGGAGGAGGGAACACAGCTGGAGAGCAGTTTTATTAGCTCAGGGATAGTGGGCTGGTCCTCCCTGGGCGCGGAGAAGGGAGGGTTGTCTCTCACTGGTTACCTCCCACAGCTTCCAGGAAGCCGGATGAACTTCTAGAGGAAAGGGGAAAGAAACTAAGACTGGGTGTGAGGGAGGCTGTTTGGGCCCGGTCCCAGCTTTCTTCTCAGGCTGCGAATCCTTCTCCTCCCTGCCTCCCGCAGCCTAGCTGCAGCTCAGTCTCCCATCCCAGCCCCACCCCAGGCTGTCCTCGCCCCACTCCGTCCTCTCTTCCTCCCTCTGGCCACCTACCTTCAGTCCTCAGCTGGGGGGCAAGGCTTTGAGGAAGGCAAACTGTCCGGGTAAGTAGTAGCTCTGGAGGTCCTCACCAGCCCGCTGCACCCTGCTGCACTGGGCCTCCTGGTGCTCCTTGCTTCCCTGCTGGCACCAGCGGCTGCTCAGGCCCACGCCAAGCAGCGCCCAGGGAGGGCTGGCAGTGTCCACCACCGCATCCCCAAGTCCCAGAGCCCCTCCTCTCCCTCTCACCATCCTCAACCTCACCCCTCCATCCAGGCTTCAGCCTCCCACCTCTCCCACAGACCCAGTTGCTATCCATCTTGCCAGCCCCCTCCTGTGCCCAACCTCTCTGCTCCCTCCTGTGCCCACACGTACCTGTTGAGCCTGCGTCTCTAAGGGGCAGTGGACCATCCGGCCCAAGACTTTATCCTCAGAGTCCAATTTGATGCAGGCCAGGCATTTCCGCTTTCTCTGCGGAGGGGGCATGGAGCCAGGAGAGGAAAGGGGTGAGGGGAGGCATGCCACCCCAAGAATGGGGAAGCTGGGGGGCAGCCTACAGCGGAGGTTGGTCCCCTTGGCAGGCCAGCTGGTTCCAGGTGCAGCGCACCCTTGGCCTGGGGCATTTCAGAAGCCAGACCATCCTGCAGTTTCCCAGCTGTGGAACTTGAGGGTGTGAGTGTGTGTAGGCAGGACTCCTCCCCTAGGTGGGTTCTCCCCACCAGAGCCACTCTGCTGTCATCTATTACATGCATTTGCATTTTCTAAGATTTGATGTGAACACAAGGGTCCTGGTGTAAAAGTCTGGAAAACCACAAGTATAATCCAGTCCCCACTTTAAAAGATGGAGGGAACTGAGATCTTCAGTCTACAGAGTAACAGGGCTGGTGCTTGGTGGAGCTGGGACTAGACCCCAGATCATTGGCTCCCAGCCCACGGAGCTCCCTTGGGGCAGTAATTTTGCCCCCAGCGTGGACAGTCAAGCCTGGTTTTGAATCAGCCCAGGTTGGACTACCTCCACTTGAAAACTCATGGAAAATGGGGAATTCACCAGGCCTAGGGTGGGGGCCCAACAAACCCCACACCATGGCCTTCTTTCACCAGTGACCTGAAGCCTGAGAGAGGAACCCGGATGGGAGGTAGACCCACCTTAAGGAAGTAAGTGTCCTCTGAACAGCTCAGCTTCCCTCTTCCCTCCCGTCCGGGCCACCAGCCCACCCACAGCCATCACGACCACAGGCTCAGACGGAGGCGGTCAGCTGTATGGAGGCTGCTCCACCCTGGGGTCTCCAACCTTATCTCCTGCTGAACCCCAATCCCATGCCCACCGGGAGCACGTGCCCCATCACATGCACGTGCCTTCACTCACCCCGTTGGGCTTGACCTTGCACTCAGCTTTCTTCCAGTCCTTCTTCCGGCAGCTCGTCTGCTGGAGCTTAAATTCCAGCCTCACAAAGGTCCCTGCCGACAAGGGCTGCCAACAGACAGAGGGAGGCCAGCGGCTGGCTAAGCGGGCAGAGCAGTTCCTGAGTGTGACCTGTCCCTGCTCCCCTCAGTGAAACAGCACATCCCAGGAGGTGGCTGGGGTGGTGGCCTTTCTCTGGAGAGCTGGATGCTTAGAGCCCAAGTGCTCTTGCAGCTGCTTCCTCAGAAGGCACCGGTGTCCCGGGCTGTGGCCCTGTCCCCCACCCCTCCCTGGGGTGTCGCTCACCATGTCCATGGCACTGTCCATGCTGGTCTTCTGGAAGGCCCACTGCACGGGCGGATGCTTGTGGAATTCTTCCAGGGCCACCTGCAGGCCCCGGTGCTGGGCCTCCGTGAGCTCAGCCCTGCCCAAGCCCATCGTGCCCAGCCACAGGGCCAGCGGGAGCAGCAGCTGCCACATGGCTCCGCCTCAGTCACCCTGACCCTGCGAAGGGTGCGGGTGTGGGTGGACCCTCAGCTCTTCCAGGTTGCCTGTGGAGCCACCAACTCCCTGGCCGTGTGGCTGGGGGGCTACACCTGGCAGAGCTCCAGACCTCCGGCCCTCCAGAGGTGGAGGGACGGGAAGTAGCCCTGTGTTCAGAGATTCCCCTGGTATTCCCCGGGGCCTTCTCCTCCTAGCCCTGCCCCCACTCTTGCCCAGTCCAGCTCAGCCTGGGTTTGGCCCTGACCCTGGTCGGGGCTGTGTCGGCTTCAGTCCTCAGGCCAACAGCTCGGGAAGTGATGCTGTTGCCCACTCCGACCCTTCCCGTTTTTCTGGCCTGTGTTCTCTCTCGCTGTCTCTGACCCCTGCTCCTGCCCTACCCCCCACCTCTGGCTCTCTGGGTCCTGGCCCCTGACCCGCACCATCCGGCCTCTGCAGCTGGGGGGAAGGGGAGGGGCAGGCACAGAAAGGAGGCCGGCTGGAGGCTGAATATTTTTGGGAGGACGTAAACACGTGGGAGGGGCCAGAGCGGGTGGGAACTGGGATGCGTAACCCTCCCGGTGCTGAAAGTGCCCGTCGCCATCAGCCCTACCCTCAACCCCAGAAATGAGGGTCTCGCCTTGGCCCCACCCGAGGCTTTCTTCTCAAGGTAGACCCTCCCTCCCTTGTTGTTTTCTCTGGGGCCCTCCCCACCACGGCTCTCCCAGACCTCTGATCCTGCCCCCCATCTACTACTGGGGTCGCCTGAGGGCTGGACCCTCCCTGAGAACTCTACCTTTACAGTGGTCTTGGGACCAGAAAGCCACACATGTGCCTTAAAGAGAGGGCTCACGGACAAGGTGACAAATCTCACCCTTCTGAGGTGCACCCTTTACCCTCCCTGTCCTCCGGTCCAGCTGCCCCCGCCACTGTCCCTTCCTCACCTCCTTTCCTGGCCTTGGGGTCTCTCTCCTACGCCTCCCAAGGCCGACTCTTGGCCAGGCTGTCAGCCTCTTCCCGGTACCCCCTCCTCCCTCCTGCGGGTCAGCCCCCATCTCCTCCCACTCCCACCTCCTGGGCCCCCTCCAGATCTCAGCGCAGCCGAGGCTCCTCCCCACCCGCCGGGACTTGCCTCTAGGCGCTTGCCCTCTGGGACTTCCCTCCCCAACCCACCCGCCAGCCCCCTGCACTTTGTCCCGCCTGCCGCTGCTGCTGCCGCTGCCCCTGCCCCTGACGGAGCCGCCCTCCCCTCCGCCAGCTGTCCGCAGTCTCCGTTGGGCCACGTCTCTGCAGAATGCAGGATGGCCCTGCCTCAGGTAGGGCTGCCCTTTCCTTGGGCCCTTCCTGGGCGACCAGTCCCCAGCAACACTCATCTCAAGAAATTCTTCCCAGAAATACAGACATCCTCAAAGCATAGGAGAACATGAGGAGTCATTAGATCCTCCTCCTGGCCCCGTGGCCCCAAAGTGACGCTGAGAAGGAAGGGGCGTCCCTAGAGATGACTCCTGTGGGTGGACATGGAGGGATTCGTAACCTCGCCAGGGAGTCAGAGAAAACAGGGTCCCGCTCCCGCTTGTCCTGCGCAATAGGAACAAGCTCTGGGACTTGGTGTGTCTGTCACCAGGACTGTAGCTTCCGGGCCCAGGACCCCTGCCCATCTCCCACGGAGAGGACCTCATTGAACTGCCCAGACCCTTGGAACTTCTGCTTCTTTCTCTGCAAGGTTGTTTTGAGGATGAAATGAGAGTGGCCAGTCTTTGGCACCAGGCTGTCTTCCCTTCCCCATGCACCCTGCCTGGATTCTCTGTGTGGAGCTGGGAGCTTCCTTTGCAGTATGCTCTGGGGGCACCAGGAAGACCTTTGGCTTCAATGAGCCAATTCTGTGGCTGGAATCCCACCATCAGTGTTTCAGTCCCATCTGTGAGTTGTCCACGATCATTAAGCAGAGATGAGAGC